ATATATATATATATATATATATATATATATATATATATATATATATATATATATATATATATATTAACCAGACATAAAATTGTAAATGTGTATTTACCACTTGAAAAACTTAACATGATAAATATAACAATAACAATAATAATAACATGACTATTAAGAAAGAGACAACCACATGCTATAAATTTTTAAGAACATGAAACTCAAATCAAACCATAACCTATTAAGGAGTTAAAGTAGTTTCACCTAGCAGATCATGTAATGTAACCATATATATGCCAAATTTTCAAGAACATGAAACACAAATCAAACCATAACCTATTAACCTGTAGTTGCACAGCCAGTACTAGATACAAAAATTGACTGTGCTTTTGCTTTCTATACACCCCCTTCCCACGTGGCACCCTATCTCCTCCGCCACTATCTAAAACCACCACCACCACCGCCACCATTGGTATTATCAAAAAGCAAAGAGTTGTCACCGATCATGTTTCTATTATTTGCAAGAAGAAATTGCAAATGGGGTGGAATTACAGGTCTGGGAGTATTCAGAAGTGGTGGTCTTGTAGCTTGGACAGGTTGTGTTGGAAGATATATGTACTGATTAAGAGCCTCTGAATAAGCTTCACCCGATAAACTTCCACGCATACGTCCACTTAGCCTCCAGTTTTGGTCTGTTGCTCAATCATAAATCATAAACAGTTAATATACAAAAATATCATGCAAGCTGAATGGAAAGGAGTAATTACCTCCATGGTCATGCGATGATGGTGTCCAGCTGCTGACGTGGAAACCTTGTTGAGCAGCTGACATGGCATGATGCCGGGCTTGTTGGTTGTTGCTTACATGACCATTTGTCGCCGCTGACATGGCATAGTGGTGGGCCTGGGCCTGGGCCAGTTGGTTGTTTACATGAGCATTTGTGGCAGCTTGTTGTTGAGCAGCAGCAGCTGACATTGACATGGACATGGCATAGTTTTGTTGGTTGCTTAAAATACCATTTGTGGGACCCACACCAACTTGCTGAACTTGAGGAAACTGGTGTTGTTGGTGAGAGTTATATTGATAACCACCACCAAATTTCTAATCATACATAAATCAATAAAACATTATTCCATAAACTGGTAAAAAAGTGAAATATAATTTTGTAAAATATTGATTGTTGAAACCTGTGGGCCCATGTGTTGTGAAGGTGGGACCGAGACTGTATGGTTTATCTGATGTGGATTCATATAAAATCCATCTAAGCCACCACTACCCGGGCCCGCAGAGGTCTGAGCTGGAAGTGCCTGAACAGCAATTGGAATTCTTGTTATATGTCTGGAAGAATGTGTAGGGTACCTCACAATCCCATTCACATCGTTTGACTGCATAGCATTGGAAGCAGAAAGTTGACTTTGACCCTGCAAAATTGGATTCATCTGGACAGGTGGCACCATAGTATTGGATGTCTGAATTTTCTGAAACCCATTAGGTGGAATATTTCTTATGTTTGTAGAGGTGGGATTTTGCAACTGAGAAGGAGAAGGTTTTTTGTCGATGTTTTGATGATGAGGATTAGTGGCAGTGGCATTTATGTAATTATCACCTTCTGTAAGGTCCAAAATACCAGGCCCCATGTTTTGGTGTAAAGGTGGTGTAGATTGTGGTTTATTATTATTATCTGTGTTATGATCATCTTCTTCTTTAACAGCTTCCCATGATCCATCAGCAGAGATTCTCACATGAGAAACATTCACACCTACTTCCTTCAGAACCTAAGGAAGGATCAATCATTTTGTTGGTGAATACTGAATATTTTCAAATTGTTGGTGTTTTACTCACAAGGGGTAAAATGGTCATTTACCTTAACCATGATGCGATCAATTCGGATGTCGGTGAAGCAGACAGATTGACTACAATGAGGACATTTCCACGATGGTCTTCTTGAGTTTATGTCCACATAGTTGTCATAATCAAAACACTGCAAAGGGTAAATATGGTAAATTGCAATTTCTCGTCTGTGCAAAAAGACATAAATGCCCTTCTCATATTGTGTAACAAAGGCAGCATTGAGACTCACCTGATGATGTTTACACAATTGTCCTTTAACGGGTGTCTTGATACGTTTGAAGCTGTATAAAAATAAGAATTTGGATTTAAAGACATATTAATTAGTGATGATAAATGAAGTGCTATTTGTATTAAAATAAAATAGAACCTTATGGGGCAATTTAGTGATGTTGTAGAAGGCCCTTCAGTTAATTCATTATCTGGATCAGGAGCAGCAGCAACTGGTGGCACATAGTTGGGAAGGATGGGAGAGATTGGATTTGAGATCATACTCATGAAGGCAACAATTATAATATAATTCCCTAACAAAGATTTACAGTAACTTTTATTTAAGATGGAGGATTCAAGCATATGTATATTAAAAAGGGGTTAAAAGTATAAATATACCATTAAACTGGCCCACAACTTGAAGAAGATTGGTTCCCAACTTGAGCATATGTGTCACAAGTGTTGGAGTCTGTGGTCCTGGATCCTGATGTAAATCATGACTTTAGTATTTTAATGGTATTCTTGAGAAGTTGACTTTTATTGACTTTTAAATCAAAACATGGATTTAGTATTTGATGGTAGTCTTAGCTGACTTTTGTTGACTTTTAAGATACATGAATTGGTAGGGAAACACAAGAAATAGGATCATGTAACACCATTCACAAAAGCAAATTGACTCAATAATTATAATACAAACCTTAGAAACACAAGTCCTCCCATTCACTGCTTTTCCATTCAACAAAAAGCTACAAATTTAACAGAAAGATTTATAGTTTGATTAGTTTAAAAGAATATGTGCTTTTGAGAAAAGTACAAGGGGTTAAAAGAAAATATACTTGACTTGCTGTGGACTTATGATGCATGAAGATGTCTCTGTGTCATCAATTTGAGCAACAAACAAATACTGCAGTGAAGTTAAAAAAAGAAAAAAAAACTAAATAAAATAAAAAGCAAAATTGCATAATATTGTACAAGATCAACAAGAAAAGAAATTGCTTACTATTTTATTGTTAGAAGACATTGCTTTGGTTGTGATATCAAAATCTTTCAAAAAAGCACCATATCCAGGCTATGACAAATAGAAAATTATAAATATTACATAGATTTTCAAGATAAAATTAATTCAAGGAAAATGGAACAATATTACCTTGGCCTCAACAAAAGCAAGTGTTTCACCCATCTTCATACTTGGATAGAACCTGAAGGGAAAGGATAGTCCTTCTAATCAAAATTTATTTTCAAAAACTTTCAATGTAATGAAATATAAACTTTCCATTTATGGAAGTTGAAACTAAATGGAAACTTGTGGAGATAATGAGATATTAGAACACCTTAACATAACTGCTGAGATACTGGGATGGACTATGTTCTCTCCAAAGTTCATATCCTTAACACTGCAGAAACTGCCTGATATCTAGAATCATAAAAGAGTAGAATTTATATAAGAGACTATAAAAAATGGAAGAGAACTCAACATTGATTAATATAAGTATATATAAAAAATTACCAACCTCATTTGAAAGCTTTTGAAGTTCTTCATTATCCTTCTCACTGAACCATCCGTTTCTACATGCACCCTTTTAGAAACAAGGTAACAAGATTTTAAATCCCTAAAGAAGTAAGAAATGTAACCACAGAAAAAGGGGGAATTTATAATAAATACAGTTGAGTACCTTCAAAGAGATCAACAGCACCATAATAGCTGCTTGTAATGAGGCATCGGTTTTCCATTGACATATCTAAGCACATAATGGTGTCAGATTTCATGTCATGTCATAGATACAGAAAGACCTTGGGTAAAGTTCATTAATAATAATACATTCATAAAGTATATAAAGGTATATAAAGGATAAGTAAATCAACAATAGGATGTATGTTATAGATGAAACATTAAACTTCTTAAACACAGTGTTCCCATTAATATCAGAATAAAGAAGTTACCTGCTTCAACAAACCAGGTAATTCTGAAGCTGTGACTGGAACTTCCTTGTTAGCAACAGCATAGTCGATTCCTCTGCAATCGTCATGGTATATCTAGTCAGTATATGAAATTTGATTGAGAACAAGGAGCTACCATTAACTAAGAGTTATGTTTGCTAAAGACATTGAACTAGTTTTCTTCATAATGAAATTTCCAACTCAGAAGATTAACAAGTACTAACATTAATCTTCGAAATAAGTGCTAAAATAGAATATTCACCGAAATATAACGTAGAATGATTTAACCTAGTTTTTTATTCGAAAAACACAATGCCCGAAGTAAAAAACAAATCATCTATTTTGAAAACATAGAAAGCGTTTCGTTTCTTATTGGGAAGTTCAACATCCACAGTAAGTTTATCTAGTGCGTGTGTGTGTGAAATCAAGTCTCAAAAAAACTATCTGAGACGAATTATTAGGGTTTGATAACAAAAACATCAAACAATTTTCAGTTTTCCACCGTAAATGCGTATACAAAAAACGCATAATGCATGAGAAAACGAACGAAATGTGTTTCTGTAACTGATCCATATACAGAAGAAAGTTGAAACGAAAGGAAAACACCTGGAAAGAGAGATGCAGAGTTTGAAGAACTCGTTGCTGTCGTTCCTTGAGCCACCGCGAACGTAAACAAGTAGTCGATCAACAACTGCTGAAATGCGGACAGAGTTCCTGTGCGACATTGATGACGTCCGGCTGGTTGACATGTCAACTGTTCCAGCCACCTGCAGCGGATTTATCACCGTTCCGGTCATGCTCGCCGGATTTATCCAACTAAGAAGTGCCGAAACGATTGAAGACGATGAATGATAAAACCGTAAAATCCGGTTTCAGAGGCGGTGTCGACTTTTTGCGATTCGTGATTTGAATAATTGGTTTTTAATAGTAAAATAAAATGCATTTTGTCTTTTAGTATAAAAAAAAAGAAGTAGTAATTAGTAGTTAGTAGGCTTAGGGTCGTTTGATAGTTGCTGATTGAGTTAGTGCTAACTGAGTTGGTACCGACTGAGTTAGAACTTCTGACTGAGTCCACATCTGACTGAAACCATATTGTTTGATTATATCTCTGACTGACTGTGATGAATTGTGAAAAATGACCATATTACCTTTATATTGCATTTTGTATATATTAATATCAAAACTAGACAATTCTTTTTTAATTTTCTCGATTATTTTTGTAATTGTCAAATTTAAATTTTGTATCATATGCATTAATTTAAATTATGTAATTATAAGAAAATGTTTTCAAAATTTTTGCAATAATCACAAACAATGTAATATATCACTTCATTAGAATTCTACTATTTTGACATAATCATAAAATATGACCCAATAAACACACAAGTTATATATATAAAAAAAATAAATAACAAACATGAACACTCTATAATACTTGTAACTTATAAGGCACCTAATTATGCAAATTCCTAGCACCATCACAAATGATGAGCAATCAGGTGGTGATTAGCGTACCCACCACATTGCCACCACCACTCCTTGTAAGCTAGGCTTTGGCTCCTTAATTATACATCCTGTAATGTGATCCTCATGCATGCATTTTCCGTTGTGGTTTCCTTAAAATACATACAACTTTCTGCTTGTTCAATTGAGCCAAAATTCTGCCCCAGTTGCAGAAGCTAATAATAATATAAACCAGAATTTGACAGTAAGCTTTCATTAGAACTTGAACAATTTTATTCAAACATTTCAACAAACATCTAACGAGCATGTTAAAGAATCATGTTTTGATAGTCAAATTGATTCACAGCTCCATTGTTAATAGATTTAGTTTTCACCTAGAAAACGGATCAACAATTGATAATAGACTAACAATGAAGAACCGTAAGGTCCCAATTTAACAATCGATATTATCAACTACCCTCACAATCAACTAAAACGTCAAGAAGATCTTACCTTAACAGTTACCAATTCAACGATCGGAACGAATATAAAATTGATCTGGAACATCGA